CCTATAGTGGCTTAGTGGCTTTACTGCCTTGCTTGTGGAACTCCCTTCCGTCTCCATATTTTCCAGCCAACTTTAATCTTCAAATATTTAAATGCAATGCCAATCGCTATCTACTGTCCTCCTGATTACTCTTTCCTCTTCCCACTCATTATTAATGTTTCTGTTCCTAATTCTTCCACACCCTGTAACCGATTGTTTCTTAGCAGCTTTACTGCATTGCATAGGGTGAAACCGATTTTAAAAATCAACTCTGTTCGTCCTATGCAACTATACATTTATGAATCATAATATTAAACGTAACATCAACATAATACGATCTGTTCTTATAGTATATTCTCTCGTACTTATCACTCGTGTAACTCTATTCTGGCTTCAAGTTTTTCACTCAAAATTGAAAATGCAATATCAATCGTCATTTTCTGTCTTCTTAATTCTTGTTCTTTTATTGCCTTCTCTCCTTAATAGTAGTTTTTCTCATATTCTCTAACACTCAGTAACCTCCTTGCGTCCTAGTGGCTTTATTGCCTTTGATCTCCAAAAATTTAAATGCAATGTCAATCGTTATCTTCTGTCTTCTTAATTTTTGTTCTTTTATTGTCTTCTCTCCTTAATAGTAGTTTTTCTCATATTCTCTAACACTCATTAACCCCTTGCGTCCTAGTGGCTTTATTGCCTTTGATCTCCAAAAATTTAAATGCAATGTCAATCGTTATCTTCTGTCTTTTTAGTTTTTGTTCTTTTATTGTCTTCTCTCCTTAAGAGTAGTTTTTCTCATATTCTCTAACACTCATTAAACCACCCCCAAGCGTCGTAGTGGCTTTATTGCCTTGCTTGGTGTGAAATGATGTAAGAGGTATGTCTGGGAGGTATATGTGGGATTGCCCACTTTACTATGAGTGATTTTTTTTCTTTCCTTGTTTTTCTATTCCATTGTTTTACATATATTTTTGTATATATTGATATATCTCCCGCTTTTCCTCCTATACATATATAATTCCATCTACCTTATTAGGATGGATTAAGACCAGAACGCTGTAGTCCATAGAGAGGTACGCTAATCAGGCATGGCGGATCATATATATAAGGAAAGAGTGGTCATCAGCCCTTGTGGAAGTCAAGATAATAGACAGAGAACAACATTGGAGAAGAAGTAAAATTCAGCCCACATGTTAGGCACAGTAGAGGTAGCATAGGTAACTGATGTTCGCATTTTTATATCTCCCACCTATATATATATATATATATATATATATAGAGAGAGAGAGAGAGAGAGAGAGACAGACAGACAGACAGATATAGATAAGAAGGATTAACGGATTTATTTTTAATCCAACATTTTTTATTATTTCAATCTTGATTTTTAGTGGATAACCGTTTTTGAGTTGACGCCTCGTTTTTAACCTGACGTCAATTATTACATCAATATATATATATATATATATATATATATATATATATATATATATATATATATATATATATATGATATCGCTCATTGAGCGCTCGTGTTAATAAAATAGTAAAATAGTGCTCGATATAAAATAACATCTATAAATGATATATTAATATATGAGCTCTATCTATCTATATATATAGATATCGATATATTAGTCAATAGACAATATCCGACAACTATTTTAACATATTTTATATAGCACGTCAGGCTATATGACGCTTCCGTGTAGGATACAGGTTCGATTCCTATCGGAGGACACATATTTTTTATGAAAATTTCTCGGACGTTCAGGCCAGTAAATGTTATTAATACTGTTTATTATAAGCAGAGTATTTACTTAAATATTTGAATATTTGTCTCTATATAAATATAAAAATAATGTATAAAATATATATATATATATATATATATATATATATATATATATATATATATATAAACTTTTTTCCATTTTGTTTTACAATTTCGACAATACTGTTCTTGATATATAAACATATATATAAGATAACAATATATATATATATATATATAGTTTATGCAAAAATATATATATATATATATATATATATATATATATAGTTTTGCATAAACTATATATATATATATATATATATATATATATATATTATGCAAAATTAGGTAATCCGTGTGGGTAGACCCAAGGAGGATGATATCCAGAGAGCACAACGTAAATTAAGAGCAAATAAATTTGAATAAAAACAGACCACTTTAAAATGGAACCATAAAGTGGTCTGTTTTTATTCAATTCATATATATATATATATATATATATATATATATAGTTAAATTTGCCAGAAATAAATTGAAAATAAGGACAAATTTGTTTAAAAATGACAATTGGAAAAAATTCTTAGTTCTTGCCGACGCCTTTCGTTTTCCGACTTTATCAAGGCAAGCAAATAAGCGAAATTTTTTGTTACCATATTTACAGCAAATCCACAACTTTAAAAAGAGATGCTCCTGCATAAGCCTCTTTCTGGATATTACTAACTTCCTTTTTACTTCGAGTTTTTTTTTTTATTCTCCATGTCGACAATATACTTAAATATATAGGCAGCATATCTTTATTCAAACATCTTTCATTGAATAATATCGACATATCGTGTCTACCTATTTTTATACTGATCTTTTCCAGCTGTCTAATGAGTTTTTTGATGTTAAGATGTAATTCATCAAGGAAGGCGCTGTAGTTTTTTTGTTTTTTTTCTACCCAAGTACTTCTTCTCCAAAATCATTCTCAGGCATAAATTACAAAGACATACTGTAACTGCGATAAAATCTGCATTCCGTTGTGATGGTGATTTTTAAAATCACGGGAGAACGTGACCTGTTATTGTTGTTTTAGAATTTTTAAATTTATCCATTATAGTTATGGAATTTATTTACAAGGATTTCAATACAAGGAACATGACTGGGAATTGGTAGAAATGTAAAATGGCATTAGTATATAAATGGTATATGCATATTAATATATTGTTACTATATTCGTAATAAATTTAGTTGAGTGTTGGTCGGTTTGATTTTGATATAGATATCACTATGAAAACGGAATGCAAATTTCATCGCAGTTACGATATATATATATATATATATATATATATATATATATTGTGTATATTTAGGCAGCAATTTTTCATTAATGTATGTTTCATCAAATAATATAGACAATTATTGTCTATATATTTTAAGCAAGTTCCTTTCATATTGTCTGATAAGCTTAATAACATTATCATTGAAAGATGAAAGGAAATCACCATATTGATACATGTTTAAATCTGAACTGAGCTTTCGGCTTACATAAGTCATTATCAAAGATGACAATTACATTTCAATATATCAAACAATACACAGAAAAAACAATAATGATAGTCTGTTTTTGTTGCATGAAAGATTTCAAAGCAACGACAACTTGTGTATACGAGACGCGGAAATTCCTTTCATATTGTCTGATAAGCTTAATCACATTATCATTGAAAGACGAAAGGAAAACACCATATTGATACATGTTTAAACATGTATCAATTTATATTGGTCACACCACAAACTCGCTTTCACGGCGCTTGACTCTACATTTAAATGATAACTCTAACATATTTAGAATTTTAAAACAACATGCCTGCCCGCATACTCAATTCTGGAAAATTTTTGTTGACAACACAACTATACTTAAACATGAAAACAACAAACAAAAATTAAAAATTCTTGAAGCTTTATACATAAAACAATTGAACCTAAACTGAACAAAATAAACTATGAAATCCCCACAAATATGCTTAAATGCCTATAATTGATAACAGAAGCCATTGGTTTATACCAACGGCTTCCCATACTTAATACTTCTCGTTTTCACTCTCGCGTGGTCATGTGTGACGTCACGAGCTGCGACGCGATTTTCGCTTCCGCGTTTCGTATATACGATATTTGTCGTTACTTGAAATTTTCATGCAGCAAGAGCGGACTATCATTGTTATTTCGTCCGTTGTTGCTCGATTTATTGAAATTGTCATCTTTGATAATGGCTTATGTAAGCCGATAGCTTAGATTGGATTTAAATATGTATCAATATGGTGTTTTCCTTTCGTCTTTCAACTATAATGTGATTAAGCTTATCAGACAATATGAAAGGAACTTACTTAAAATAAATAGACAAAACTTGCCTATATTATTTAATGAAACATGTATGTATATATATATATATATGTGTGTGTGTGTGTGTGTGTGTGTGTGTGTGTGTGTGTGTGTGTGTGTAATGGACTCTCCCGTCGTTTTCGACGTAGGAACCGACAGCCAGTCGCACCCACATATGACATGATTACATAGGTGTAGGCTTTTTGCAGAACGACCCACACTTTTTGAAGAGCCTAATACAGAGACCTGATGCACTGTGTGCCACAACGTCCCTGAACGACCCATCGCAGTTTTTGAATTCAGAGTTGGCCTTCTCAAATGCCATATAAGGCTATAGAACCCAATCTGTCTTGCTATTTACCCATAGCTGGAGTGGGGAGAAGAGGATATTTGTGTCTTGTGACGTGTGACGAAAGCAGATAGCCTAAACACTCATGCACGCATCTATTAGGGTTAATTTCCGCCTAGCAACAGAATAAAGGTCACGTGGGAGACTTATGACATTTTGGGAAGGCAGGTCAAAAGGTTGACTGACCCAATTACCCGTAGCGACAAATGTCTAGACAGAAGCTAGACAGGGGACTGATGTAAGCGGGAATTCGCGCCAAAACTTAAGACACGTGATAGTCAGAGATTCACTCGAGAATCAGTTGCTATCTTGATTTGAAGAGGCAAGACCTGAAGCCGAAGCGCTGATAGTTTATGAACGGAAAGATAAGACGCATTTGATAGTGATGGAACTTATCCAGTTCAACCCAGGCAACTCCGGACTAGAAATATAAGAAGTATTCCTGTTCGAGAACCCCAAATTGAAGATGCAGAAAACTTTATATGCTGAGGATTCAGCCTGCGTTTAAAGAAAAAGGAAAACCAGAGAAGAAAGCATATATCTCTGTTATAAGCTGAATTGTATAAAGAAGAAGGAAAGAAAGAAGAAAACCAAAGAGAGGAAGAAAGTGTATACCTCTGTTACAAGTTGAATTGTGTAAAGAAAAGAAAACGGATATCCAGAGAGGAAGAAAGTATATACCTCTGTTATAAGTTGAATTGTGTAAAGAAAGAAAAGGGAAAACCAGAGAAGAAAGTGTATACCTCTGTTATAAGCCGAATTGTGTAAAGAAGAAGAAGGAAAGAAAGAAGAAAACCAAAGAGAGGAAGAAAGTGTACATCCCTGTTGCAGTGAGTCGGGTTTGGAAACCGAACTGTCTACAGAAGAAAAAGGAAGGAAAGAAAAAGACAAAACAAAGAGAGGAAGAAAGTGTATACCTCTGTTACAACCGGACAGTGTGTGAAATTTTGTTTGTGTCGAGAAAAGAAAAAAAAGGACAATGATAAAAAAAGAGAACTGAATATAAAAAGATAAGTAATCATATTTTGGACCCGTAGTAGAAAGATATACATACATCCATGAATATTATGTTCTTGCAAACACCTTTCCACATGTCAAAATAATAATTGTAACTCCTATCCCATCTCTTTTGTGTATGCGTTGGCTTCTGCATTCATAGTAATTCATACTTATATTTTTGTATGTTCGGGTTCAGTTGAATCCATTTGGTGTTAGGCGAATTTTGATATCCCAACGTAAGTTTTGAGATCTGGTCGTCGGATGTTTTAACTCATACTTATATGTTCTTTTATTTTGATATTTGTATATTTGTACTTATTAAAATTCTAGTATCAAAATCGCTAAGCCTTATACTTCATCCTTGTATTGTGGATCAGTATTCGTGTTGAAAACGAAGCGGACCTGGGAAAGATTATTGTTCGATTATCCCAATCGAACAGTGGTCTTAAAAATATTTTTGTTTACCAATTGTCCATTGTCACGATCTGGGAGAGATAGCTTGTATCTCTCCACAGGTGTGAGAATGTATATATCTCCTAGTCAGCGTGTGATCGCCTTATAAATCCATTCGTCGACTGGGGCATATGACAGTCTCCATTAAAATAACGTTCAAATACATTCCTGTATATATATATATATATAGAGAGAGAGAGAGAGAGAGAGAATGAGAGAGAGAGAGAGAGAGAGAGAGAGAGAGAGAGTGAGTAGAAACCATGGCAGCAGAAAGGTCGGTTCTTTCATTATTTTATGTTTGAAATTTCTCTACGTTTTGGTTGTTTGGCAAATATTACTTTTTGTAAAAACCTGGATTTTGTAAAGTGAGTCTATCTATCTATCTATATATATATATATATATATATATATATATGAGTGGTGACTGAAAAGATGATATGCTGACCAAGATACTCTCTTAAAATGGTACCTAATGAAGTTTATTTTTCAACATATTTTCCCTTGATGTCCACACGCTTCTTCCATCGGTGTTGCAATGCTTGTGTCCCATTGGTGAAGGTGATTTCATCCTGTTGGTCAAAAAAGTTATCAACAGCAGATATTACATCGTCATCTCTGCGATACAGGTTCCCAGGCAAGTGTTTTCTCGTGTTGGGCAACAGATGATAGTCAGATGGGGGAAAATCAGGAAATTAGAGAGGGAGATGAACCAGTTCAAATCCAGTCACGCACAATATTCATTGAAAACAAAAACTTGTCTTCTGGAGCATTGTCCTGAGGAAACAATACACCATTCCTTAGTTTTCCCGGCCGTTTGGTCTTGATAACCTTTCATAACTGTCTCAGGAAGATAGCATGTTTCTCTCCGGTAATGGTATGGCCCTTTTGAAGATAGTCATTAAACTGTTGTAAAGTAGTTCTCACAGTGGAGGCTTGTATTTCAATAAGTCGGTCCTAAAAGGGTCCGACGTACAAAACGTTAGGAACTTGCAATAATAGTTAATGACGCAGCAATCTAGTTGTGATGGTTGATACTTCAATGTCCGACATCGACTGACTCACTCAACTCCACTGAGCCCAACTGGCGACTGCTACCACTACTACTACTTATTATGTGTGGGAGAGTCTATTACAATAGAATAGGTAATGTTCTAGTATAACATAAACACAATGCCTTTTACATCCCTAAAACAGAGGCCATCACTTTCCTATCGATGTAACGACTTTGGCTTACTTTGGAACGGTTGAGGAGGGGTGTTTCTACTGCATGGATTGTCTGTCTGCCTCTGGCACAAAGTGATGAACAAAACATTCATCCTGGGATGGGAAACGTTCAAGGAAAACAGCTGGATCTGCCTCAAACAATGTCAGATTTCTCCGTGATGTGATAAGCTTCCGTGATTTGGTCGCTTTTGATCAGGTGTCAGAAGCGGTGTCACCCACCGACCTGAAATTTTCGCCATGTCAAGTTCATTGTGCAGAAGATTCTCAAATCTTTTCCTGTTCACCTGTGGGGTAGGTAGGTGACACTGGACAACTTCTGCTATGTGGATCTCTTCTCCCTGTCAATTCTTCACCTATTTAATCATCCCAGTATGGGGAGGGCGCACGTACAATATTAGAATCACGCAAGTAAGTCTCCAATCGCAAGCATGATTGCTAATATAAACCAGTACCGGAATTCACCCTACTTCCGAGTTTGTTGTCACTTTATCTCCATCCACCTATCTACGACTTTACTCACCATTCCCGTTCGGTCAAACTGGATGCTACTTAGAAGACTGAAATTTTCCTTGCAGATGAAATAACCATGATCTTCTTTGGGGCAGGCGAAGAGAGGTGTTTCCGCTGCATGGATTCTCTTTGTCTCTGATGAACCCAAAACTCATCCTGCGCTGGGAAACGTTCAAGGAAAGTAACTGGATCTGCCTCAGACATATGTCAGATTTTCCGTAACGTGATCAGCCTGGTGCGCTTTTGATCAAGTCTCAGAAGACGTAGCACCCACCGAGCATAAGCCTTCATCATGCAAAGTTCATCGTGCAGTTATATTCTCAAATCTCTCACGGGATGCACTAATAACATTCGCTATTTGATTTATAGTCAATCGCCTGTCATCCATCATCATGTGGTGAACACGATCAATGTTTTCCTCGGCAGTGGCAGTTACAGGATGTCCAGATCTTGGGTCATCTTCAAGATTCTCCCTTCCCCTCCTTAATTCAGCTGTCCACTTTTGTACTGTTGATAAAACCGTAGCGTCGTCCCTTATTGCAGCAACCATGTCGGTATGGAAGCCATTGGGGACTAAAACCTTTTTCTGAACCACGATGCCAAATTTTGTTCATTTTCAAGAGAAGTCGCTACCAGTTACTTCTGAAATTTTCTTTGAACAGACAGATGTCAGTTTACCTGGAAAGAAACAATGCAGTTATGAATAAGAAGAGTTGAAATGAATGCATGCAAGGTTTCACAACTCTAGCATCACTCCTTCATAGTCAGCCTATGAACTTTTTAGCCCACCCACGTACCTGGAGAGAAACAATTCAATCATGAATAAGAAGAGCTGAAATGAACATATGCAAGATTTCACAGTTCTAGTATCACTCCTTCATAGTCAGTCTATGAACTTTTCTTCCCACTCTTGTAGATAGATAGATAGATAGATAGATAGATAGATATGTGTGTGTGTTTATCATGTCTAGGCATCAATCCTTCTTTTATACATGTTTCATTTACTACAAGGAATATTTTATGATTTTTTTATTCAGTCTTTTTAGCTTTTATGATGCCCAAGAGAGTATAGAACCTTCTCGGAAATGGAATAAACCTAATTGACTAAAATTATTTGATTAATTGATAGAATTGTTTTTTACGGCTTATTAACTTTTGTGGGTTATTTAAAGCCATAAAATATTTTCAGATTGTATGATTTTTTAGAGAATAATGATTTAATTATATAAGTCTTACTAATTAACCCAAAGATGGGGGAGAAGAGATGGATTCCTAAGTGTATTTGTGTGTAAGTGAATATAATGAACCCAACTGGAATTCGAATTCGGCTGGAAAACATACTGATCGAAATATCGCGAACTGACATGAAACTTGAACGGTAAACAAAATATATACAACAGAAAATAGCCTAGTAGCATATATATTTTCGTATCATATGACTTTTGAAGACCTAATTTTGAAACTAATTTTAAGCGGGGTCGCATCACACGCGAGATATAAAATTAACGTATGTACTGCTGGTCCTGGATATGCCGTTGACCAAATTATATATCGATTGACTGTAGTCAAATTAGCTTCAAAATTTAGGTTTTCAAAGATCGCATGATACGCGAGTATACGGTAATAAAAATAAACATTGTTGTTGGTTGAATTTATATATATATATATATATATATATATATATATATTGAATAAAAACAGACCACTTTAAGGTTCCATGTAATAAGTTATTTCACCAAAACCCCTTTAAAAGGTCTCTGGATCATCAGACTTTACTTCCGAAGGTTGAAGTGAAAAATGAAAAGAAATTCACACATTTTTGACGGACCGCATCAAGCATATGTAAAGTTAACGAAATGAGGAAGTGAGGTGGGAGAGAAGACATGAGTGAGTTAGATTTACCATTTCAATTCCTTATTCTTAACCCCATTGTGTGTAGGCTAGACGTCGCTTAAACTTAACGCGTGTTATCTCTAGATATAGATGGGCAAGGGGTGAGGGAGAAGACCGATATTAAAGGAAGAAGCTACAACAACCCTAATAAATTACATTCCACGAGGGCAGGTTTCATTCAAATTCTTAGACCGTCAAAAATGTGTGAATTTCTTTTCATTTCAACCTTTGGAAGTAAAGTCTGATGATCCAGAGCCCTGTTAAAGGGGTTGTGGTGAAATAACTTATTACATGGAACCTTAAAGTGGTCTGTTTTTATTCAAACATATCTGCTCTGAATTTACATTGAGCTCTCCGGATATCATCCTCCTTGGGTCTACCCATGCGGATTATCTAGTTTTGCATAAACTATATATATATATATATATATATATATATAGAGAGAGAGAGAGAGAGAGAGAGAGGGAAAGAGAGAGGGAGAGAGAGAGGGGGAGAGAGAGGGCTATATAAGGATGAAGACAGATATATATATAGAGAGATAGCTATATAAAAACACAGACAGAGAGAGAGAGAAGTACAGCTGTATTTAAAATAAACTTGTAAGCAGGAAAATACGGTAATACCCTTCTCAAAGGAATTGGCGCCAAAGTGAAGATGGCGAACTCCAATGGAATTGGAAGTCAGTTCTCTAATTTCCACTTCTGAGCCATTATTCATTACACCACCCGCACATCTAATCTTACCGTACCTGATATTTAGAAGCGGTCACTCATCTAGGTAGTGAGAAGATTCGACATTGCTTAACTTCGGTGATCGTACAAAAATCGTTGTTTCAATGTTATTTGGCCGGAAGTTTATATAAAATTAAATTTATGAGAACGAGGAAGTTAGATAACGATTCGCTTTAAACTCGAAAGGGTTAAGATTTTAGTATTCAAGAGAACAGTCCCTCAGGAGTCTTTTCCACAAGGTAACGAAACAATAACAACAAGTAATATGTGTTTATTAATTAGAATTAATTGACTGAAAGTGTAGACGTAATTGTATTATGACAACAAGAGGCCCCACCAGAAATTGCATCGTCATTCACAAAATGGCAATACAGAAGCCCCGGTACACCTACTGATGGGAGAGCCTAGTTGGTTGGTTGATTTTGTTTAGCGGCATATCAACCTCAATCAAATATTTTGAACATAATTTTATGGTTTAGACAAAATATATTCTATGCCTTCAACTACAGGTAAAATGTATTTTTGATCATTTTGCTATAAAATGTATTGTTGGTAATTCTATAATAAAATGTATTGTTGGTCATTTTGCTATAAAATATATTGTTAGTAATTCTACTATAAAATGTATTGCTGGTTATTGTTAGTAATTTTAAATTTGGATGGGGTTAGTATGTGTTTTAGGTTTTTAGATTGGCGTTTGCTTTTAATTATTTTGGTTGTTTTTAGTATATTTTTCAGTTTATTATTCTTGCTAAGTAGCTCTAGATTTTTTGTAATTTCTGTGAATAATTCTGGATTTTTTTTTTTTTTTTGTATGTTGAGACATATGCTAGAGTTTTTTCGACATTACGTTTCTTTTTATTTCTAAGTTGGTTTAAAGGAATTTTTTTTCCGAGTTCAAAACTTTCGTTTATTAGTGATGCAGGGTAGAGCCTCGTTTTTTAGAGTTTTATGTACACACCTTAAAAATCACACAACATGCGCACATAATGGCTAAATACGGTGATCAAACCACTCACATGCATACGCACACGCTCACATGCGGTTGCCTGTGGAACACGAATATATATACACGTTGACAAAAGCAAGGGACTACTCACGGAAACGCGCGCAAACTCCACACAACTTAGGAAGTATATGTATGTGTATGTACGTATATATGTATGTATGAATGCATGTGCGTTTATATGTGTGTATACTGATTCCGTGTAACTTGGGAAGTATATGTATATATATGTACGTATATATGTATGTATGTATGTGTGTGTATACTGATTCCTTGTAATAGGACAGTATGTGTATGTAGAGAGGAAGTGCGCGTATATATACATGCATGCTGACAAAAACACAAGAAAATGGATATAGATCTAATAACACACAGGGGTCATTAAAAGATAAGAATGTCGATAACTCCTTCACCATTTCTCGGACCAATCTTAATTGTTTTATAACCCTTCACGCAGAACTTTTCACTGCCAGTTCAAGAAAGTCATTTAGGTCACTAACACACAAAAATGAGAATGTCTCATATCGAGAATATTTAACATCAAAAAACATAAGAAAAAAAAATTAATTATTTTTAATATGTGGAAATCTTCACGCTTTGCCTGATGACTGTCGCGAGACCGGAAACACGTGTAGCAAAGTTATGGAAAATAAAGCATAATATTTTTTTTTTTTAAAATCCACATTACAACCAAAAAATTTGCAGTTCCTCTTTTCTTTTTATTATACTCTTTTCTCCCGTTGAAACTACTATAACCTCTTTTCTTTATATATATATATATATATATATATATATATATATATATATATATATAGTTTGTAGATCATAAATGTTTTGTTGGGAACACTTCGACGGGGTGTAATGGTTAACAAGTTTGTATCGCTAGAACAATTACGACTGAGTAGTGAGTTAGATTCTCAATGTGTGCTCCACACTTTCGGCCTTGTGCCACATCTGAGCTAACACTCAGAAAATCATTTGGGCACCCCGACGTGGTGTAATGGTTAACAAGCTTATGTTGCTAGAACAATTACGACTAAGTAGTTAGTTCGATTCTCACTGGATTACCCATACTTTCGGCCTTGTGCCATATCTAAGTCAAGCCTAGAAAATTAAAATAAAATTTATCGTTAGTATTTTGTTTATATAATTATTTATTATTACTGGTAATTTTTTTATAAAAATGTATTTTTATACTTTGTTAGTTTTATATTGATTGTCATTTTGCTATAAAAAATATATTGTTAGTCAATTTACTATAAAAATTTACTGTTGAATTTTGTTTGAGGGTTCACTATTTGCCCATAGCTGGGACCCTAACAGGTGTTACCACTCCGGGTCAGGTTGGACCTGGGATCAACAGCATTTAAGCTGTGGTCCTCAAAATCTCAAATCTCCCGATCAGAGGCCTTGCTGATGGGTGTAGTTTATCGTCATAGCCAGAACGCAGTCTGTGTGTAGTTTACAGCCGCACAGATCTCTGGTCTAATCCGTGGACCCTACATTTCCCATCAGCGATGTGTGTGAGACTGCTCAATCATCTCTAGGGCGGTTGTTTATATACCTGTCTGTCTAGCATTCTCGTTCTTACGCTTAAAAAAATCTAGCTTCCTTTGACGGTCTAGGGGTAAAAATTTAGGGCAGTGTCTATTCCGGTATATCACATAATGGCCGAAACATTGTCATCATAACAAGCAAGTTAAAGAATTTAGATAAAAAAAGGCTCATACAGAGTCTTAGCTTAGAGCGATGGTTAGTGTGCTAGGCTAAGAATCTGTTGCTCCTGTCGTGAGTTCTACTTCGGTATGTCCCTCATTAATATTGCCTTTTGTCAGACTTAGCTAAATTTAGTATCTTGCACTTTATGTCTACAACAGCAACAACAACAAATCAACAGGAATTCTGCCACCTGTTACTATGAAATCATCCTCTTTGCTCCTCCCCCAACAACAAAAACATTTTTTTATTTATTCCAGACCCCCAACATCGTTATTTTTGTTTTCTACTATCACCTACTGCCCTTCATGACACCGAGTGCTGATTGACTACACCGCCGTAGGCACCATATCTCTATCAGGTCACGTGACAAGGCCGTTTTGTACACCCCCACCCACCGCATCAGATACTTTAGTGTCCCAAGCACTTCAAGTTCTTCCCTGACCCCGCTGAAGGGATCAACCCCGAGACCCGGTCTGATGTTCCCCTAACGGACTAAGACTAAAAATACACCATAGATAGATAGATAGATAGATATGGACAGACTGAGATAGAAAGAAAGAAAGAATTATAGATTGAAAATAAAATCCATTGATTCCTTAAAAATGACTTTATTATGATTTCTACCGGCTTGGGCATTTGAGAGACTTAATAAATAATATAAAATAAAATCGAATTAAAAATAAAATCTATCGATTCCTTAAAAATTACTTTATGTTTCGTATACGAAAATATGTAAGCAGATATGGATTTTCGAGTAACTATGGTCTTTCTAGAAGATCCGAACGAAAGGAAGTGTATTTTTAAAAAATAGCAATTAAGCCTACTGGGTCGTGGCACTCTCTAAAGCATATATATATATATATATATATATATATATATATATATATATATATATATATATATCGCGTCAACTGATTTCACCAGGAACTCTTGTGGCATGGAAGACATTGCATTCGCTCTTCAAGTTCCTTCAAAGAAAAAAGTCACAGGTTGTTAAGTTAGGACACCTGACTAGCCACTCATACATAAAATAGGGAGTTACTTTACAATCACCCTGTATGTATGTGTGTTTATATATATATATATATATATATATATATATATATAGTCATTCACAGACAGACTGCTTCACTGTATCACAGCTCCTCAGTGTGCATAAGGAGTTACTTTACAATCACCCTAGAACCCAAACATTTCGAAAACGGAAACCTCGACTGGGAATGAAAACAGCGATGGCACCTACCCTGAATCCATCATAAAAAAATTAAGTTTAAATTAGTAAATACTATAGCCCTTGGGCAAAGCAAGAATACATCCCTTCTCGTTCCAACTATTGGTTAAATAGCAGAAGTACGCTACGATTTCTAGCCTTAGAGAAAGAATAATACTAAATTCAAACCGTTAATATCCTTAGGTAAAGGATTCATTAATTAAATAATAGGTTAGGCTGGGCTGTCAAGCCTTGGACAGCAATCAGTCTAGAAGAAGGATAATAATGGATTCAAAGCCATGGCGAAGAAAGTTGGAACCTAGTCTATTCTCTTAACAAGAAATCATAGAAATTTACAGATTTTAAATAAAATGAAACTTTGGAGAACTATGATTACATAAGTCCCAAAAAGATACGATATTTAATTATATATATATATATATATAAGGTCTCCGAAAAATGTATATACAATTTAAATAATTATAAAGTCAGTGTTTATCAAAATACATTTCATTTTCAAAATTTAATAGAATCTACAGACATTATTATATTGGTTTGTCAAAGCCTGTTTTCAAACTGATGTCCATTCTGGTCCAGGAATTGCTGATAATGCAAAGCAATGGAATTGCAGACATCACCAAAGATTTCGTTTGGAATTTTTGAGTCTTCTCATTCAATTGGCTGCTCTCAATTCAGCGACTGTTGCAGGTTTCATAGCGTAGACTTTGTCTTTTAATTATCCCTATAAAAAAAAGTCTAGTGGTGTGAGGTCTTAGTGAACGCGAAGGAAATTCTATGAAACACCTTCGTACAAGCCACCTGTTTGGTAAGATCTTATCAAGGTATGATCTAATTTCACTCTTCAGTCTGGATTATCGTCATTAATAGGATGGACTTAGCTTGAAATGGAACTTTTCCATTGACAGCGCTTTGGGTTGGACAGACGACGTTGAAATACTTACCTAACGACTCACTTGCCGCAAAAATTTTCTTGGACTTTTGTGATACATTTCCAGTACGCTTTCTTGCTTTGTATAGCTTGCCGATATCCGTGGTCTTCCAGAAGATTTCTCGTGGACATTATGAAGAGTTCCGTCGGCTTCAAACTTATCTGTAATTCGAGTGATGGTAAGTCACATTGTTAGATCTGTTTGAGACTCCCGCCTAAACTGTCTTTGCACTTCAAATGCGTTTTCACACTTCCGGTAGCATTTTAGAATGAATTTCCTTTGTTCAAAGTTTAACTTGGCTGCCATCATTAATTCTTATGGGTTTCACATGGAAAAAAAACATCAATTAAGCTATCATTGTGTATACATTTTTGGGAGACACCATATATATATATATATATATATATATATATATATATATATATATATATACATAGAAGTACATCCTCCTCCCACCACTAAACATAGTCAAACAAGCATAAATACATCCAATTTTAAAAAATAACCCATTTTGTCTGATGATCGTAAAAGCGTGAAAACCCAGGGTCACAAACTCATATCCATACAACATATTATATATATATATATATATATATATATATATATATATATATATAATATATATATATATAATAAAATACAGTTTTAAGCTATGCTATATTTATAGGTTAATGTTCAATATCAGGGATAGAGAGTATGTAAATATAAAAGTGAACATTGAAGTCAACACCCAGAGACGACAGTCTGTTTTTCGTCTGGCTGTTAACTTCAATGTCACTTTCATATATATATATATATATATATATATATATATATATATATATAAATATATATATAAATGGCGACAGTAATTCATGCACCCCCTCCCCTAGCAACTTTCGTTACCCCACTTCTCCCGCTGGTTCTTTTAGTCCCGAGCGGGCTTGCTTTTGGTACCGTAGGTCTCTGGCCGGTACGATGCTTCTGATCCAAGGAGAAGTTCTGTTGCCTTGACCTCTAGGCGGACGAGACGCGTACACTCTGAGTATAACGCCTGAATCTTTGCTGGGTTATTTGTCACCTCATTAAGGGTGCTAAAAGTAAACGTTTTCTAGGTTTTGGCGTTAGCCGCCTGATAGTCAGGGATCCGAACCTTCGAGTAACTTCGAAAGGGACAATCCTCTCAGCAGGGGTATAATATCGGGACAATTGTACTGTCATTTTGGGAATGGTTTCTGGACTGTGCAGTAGTCTCCGCTGGGGCCTCTTAATGCCATGATCATGGGTACTGTTTCACTAGTATATCCGGGCGAGTCAACCCAGGTTATTTATGTGTGCATCCCCAACGAGTGTCTGTTTCACTGCTTACTAGTCTTCCACCAAATCAACCAAAACAACCATGAAAAGCCATCAAAGTTAAAACGACGTTATCTTCCCCTTCGATCCATATAAACTACCACCTTAACGTAACCCTCTACCTCGAATGACTCCCAGGCCTTGTACAGGGTGAACCTTACTGCAAAAAAAAAAGATTTCTCATCTCAAATATTCCGACATAAAATCTAGATTTTTGATAATCTAATAAAACCTACCAGCCGTGTATTTCCACTGCAAGACACACTGTGTGCAGGTCAGTCCAGACGGTAATATCAACGAGAGAGTGAAATTACTGTGGCTTAGGTAGTTTTCTAAGAAATATTTCGTCTTTCCGTCCAACAATCGCAGAGGGTACCTGTCAAAAGGAAAATATCTAAGCATTGGTCATGAACAGAACAAATAAAAGTAATGAGATAGATATATACAGACTGATAAATATACATGAACAGATAAATAGACAGACAGATAGATAGATAGATAGATAGATAGATAGATAGATAGATAATGAGTATAAAGAATATCTGTCTATATTTCTGAGATGAGGTATTGTAATTATCTACACTATTTACATTGTTCTGAATGTTGTCCTCATCTTCATTGCCATTTTCACTACATTTCGGCCGTTGTACGCTCCGGCCTTCTTCAGGTGATTGGAATGTCTCTCCCGGATGTCTCATTATCAGTTATCCCCCTTTTAACTCAACTCTTCAAGTTTTTGTTCACCCCTGCTGTAGCTAGGTATTGAACTCACAACTCTTTGGGTCAAGCCACTGGATCCGACCAACGCTTTTATCCTCAAAGACATATGGCCGAAATTGAAAACGAACAAGACTAACAAACCAAACCTCAAAAAAAAAGTAGACCCCAGGTATACCATCTCTTGTACCAATGTGAGGGGTCTATGTTCCAAATTTTATGACAGTATCTCCAGGCGAGTGAACCCAGGTTATTTGTGGGTGCATTTTCAATGGGTGACTGTTTCACTGCCTACAAGTCCTCCACCAAACCGACCAAAACAAACATGAAAATGATCAAATTGAAAACAACGTTATCTACCCTCAACCCTTAACATAAACCTCTACCTCGAGTGGCACCCGAGCCTCGTACAGGCTAAACCCTTCTGTAAAATAATTTTCAGAAGCTCGTCGAAAAGGAAGTGAAAATCATATTAATTTTTATAGATATTTTTGTGTTTATTTACATCATCGTCTGAACATTAACTTCACTATGAGATAATCTTTCTTAACTATGAGATAATCTTTCTTAACTCTTTGCAGATATTGGAAGCGTGGAAAGCGAAGTAAGAATATGTTGCACTTAAACAACTTCCTGTTGTTTATTTCCTTCCTTTGTGCAACTGTTTGGGGTCACGGACGTCTGCTTGAACCCCCATCCAGAACTAGCATGTGGCGATTTGGGTACAATACTCCACCGGACTATGATGACAACGGGCATAACTGCGGGGGCGTAGGTGTAAGTGTCGCCTCTTAAAAATCACACCTTCATCTATTGTGTCTTCTTCTTCTTGAAATTCTTCTTCTTAAAATTCTTTTTTTTTTCTTCTTCTTAAAATTCTTTTTTAAAATCATTCTTAAAATTACTCTTCTTCTTAAAATTCGTCTTAAATATTTTTTCTTTTTCTTCTTAAAATTCTTCTTCTTTTTCTTCTTCTTAAAATACTTTTTTAAAATCTTTCTTAAAATTCTTCTTCTTAAAATTCTTCTTTTTCTTCTTAAAATTCTTTTTTAAAATCATTCTTAAAATTCTTCTTCTTAAAATTCTTCTTAAATTTTTTTTTCATTTTCTTCTTAAAATTCTTCTTTTTCTCCTTCTAATTTTATTATTCTTCTAAAAATACATTTTTTTAAATCTTTCTTAAAATTCTTCTTTTCCTTCTTCTTAAAATTCTTCATAAAATATTTCTTCTTTCTCTTCTTAGAATTCTTCTTTTTCTTCTTCTTAAAATTCTTTTTTAAAATCATTCTTAAAATTATTCTTCTTAAAATTCTTCTTAAAATTTTTATTCTTTTTCTTCTTAAAATCCTTCTTAAAATTCTTCTTCTTTTTCTTCTTCTCAAAATTATTCTTCTTAAAATACTTTTTTAAAATCTTTCTTAAAATTCTTCTTTTTCTTCTTAAAATTCTTTTTTAAAATCATTCTCAAAATTATTATTCTTCTTAAAATTCTTCTTAAAATTTTTATTCTTTTTCTTCTTAAAATTCTTCTTCTTTTTCTTCTTCTTAAAATTATTCTTCTTAAAATACTTCTTTAAAATCTTTCTTAAACTTCTTAAAATTTTTCTTAAAATTCTTCTTTTTCTTCTTCTTAAAATTCTTTTTCTTTCTCTTAAAATTCTTCTTTTTCTTCTTCTTAAAATTCATTTTTAAAATCATTCTTAAAACTCTTCTTCTTAATATTCTTCTTTTTCTTCTTCTTAAAATTCTTCTTTTTCTTCTTCTTAAAATTCTTTTTTAAAATCATTCTTAAAATTATTCTTCTTAAAATTCTTAAAATTATTCTTCTTAAATTTTTTTTTAAAATCATTCTTAAAATTATTATTCTTTTTCTTCTTAAAATTTTTATACTTAAAATTCTTCATTTTCTTCTCAAAATTCTTCTTAAAATTTTTCTTAAATACGTCTTCTTAACATTATTCTTCTTCTTAAAATTCTTGCTCTTCTTAAATTCTTCTTAAAATTCTTCTGAAAATTCTTTTTCCTTCTTAAAATTCCCTGCCTCTCACTTTCTATATTTCTACTCCTCTTCATGCTTCATATTCTCCCACTCTATTCACTCCCTTTTTTCCTACTCTTTCTCCTCGTCATGACCCTCCTCCTTCCGCTCTCTCCCTCTCCTTTTTACTTCTCCTCCTTGCTCGCTCTCTCTCTCTCTCCCTACGTTTTCTCCTTCCCCTCATCCTTTCTCACTTAATTTTTCTACTCCATTCACTCATCATAAACTATTCCCCCTTTCTCCCACTCTATTGCTTCCTCTCATTATAATCCCCTCTTCTTTTCTATTTTACTCCTCCCATTACTCGTATTGTCTTCCTTTCTGTCTTTCTAATTTTCAACTCCTTCACATTCCTCTATTTTTCTACTCCTACCGTTCCTCACACCCGTCTTCTTCACCTTTCTCTCTCTCTCGCTCTATCTATCTATCTATCTATCTATCTATCTATCTATCTATCTATCTATCTATCTATCTCTATACTCCTCTATTTTCTCTTAATCTCCTTCCTATTTTTGTACTTTTTCTCTATTGTTTCCTCTCTCCTTTCCCTCTCTCTCTCTATTTTACTACACTTACACTTTCTAATAATCATCTTTTCAATCTGTTTTCTCCTCTCTCTCTATATCGCCCTCTCTCTCTCTCTCTCTCTTTCTCTATCTCCTCCATTTTCTCTTAACCTCCTTCCTATTTTAGTACTTTTCTCCTTCGTCACAACCTTCCTCTCTCTCGCTACCCCCCTCTCTCTCTCTCTCTCTCTCTCTCTCTTACACTCTCATAATCTCCTTTTCATTTTTTTTTCTACTCATCTATCTATTTATCTATCTATCTATCTATCTATCTATCTATCTATCTATCTATCTATCTATTTTTCTACCTATTCTCACTGTTTCTCTTTTATGTAAAAATCTCGTGTATCCTTTCTATTTTTTACCTTGCCATTCTCCGTTCTCATGAGAATGTCCTAGCTAATCACAGCCGTTAAAAATAACGAAAATATTTAAGGTTTTGATTTGTTTAGAGTGCAGCCTAATTAAGAATTTCCTAGCCGCTTTTACCTGCAAGCGAAAACCTAATTTCACACAAATGATGGCTGTCGTTCCTCAATTTTAAAATAACAGAAAAATCCACAACGTTACGTGCGAATTGCCTATCTTCACCGTTTATTTTTATATATAGAACATTATCAACGTGGGCGGTAACGCGCCCTTAGGGGCGTCATGAACTTCCAGTGGTTCAGAATTTGAATCGAACAGTAATGGAGGCGCTGTATTTCTTACAGAGAAGAAAAATAATTTAACCCTTGGAATCTTAACTGAAAGAAGTCACCACGTTTTATACACACATTCGTTTATTCTCTCTCTCTCTCTCTCTCTCTCTCTCTCTCTCTCTCTCTCTCTCTCTCTCCCTCTCTCTCTCCTTTCCTCCTCTCTCTCTCTCTCCTCTCTTCTCTCTCTCCCTCTCTCTCTATCAATAAAAATTTAAAGAAAGAAGTCACCACGTTTTATACTCTTTTTATTCTTTCTCTCTCTCTCTCTCTCTCTCTCTCTCTCTATCTATCTATCTATCTCAGACCACTTTAAAAGAAAAAAGTCACCGTTTTTATACTCCTTCTCTCTCTCTCTCTCTCTCTCTATCTATCTATCTATCTCTATCTCTCTCAATAAAAACAGACCACTTTAAAGAAAGTCACCACGTTTTATACTCACATTCGTTTATTCTTTCTCTCTCTCTCTCTATCTATCTATCTATCTATCTCTCTAAAAACTTTTAAAGAAAGAAGTCCTTCTTTCTCTCTCTCTCTCTCTCTATCTATCTATCTATCTATCTATCTATCTCTCTATCTTTTATACTCTTCGTTTATTCTTTCTCTCTCTTCTCTCTTTATCTATTCTATCTATCTATCTCTCAATCCTTTAAAAAAGAAACCACGTTTTATACTCACATTCGTTTATCTATCTCTCTCTCTCTCTCATTCTATTCTATCTATCTCTCAATAAAAACAGACCAAATTAAAGAAAGAGTCACAACGTTTTATACTCACATTCGTTTATTCTTTCTTTCTTCTTCTCTCTCTCTCTATCTATCTATCTATCTATCTATCTCTATCTCTCAATAAAAACAGACCACTTTAAAGAAAGAAGTCACCACGTTTTATACTAACATTCGTTTATTCTTTCTCTCTCCTCTTCTATTTTTATCTATCTTGCCATTTAATTTTTACATTCACCCGTTTTTACTCCAATCGTTTATTCTCTCTCTCTCTCTTCTCTATCTAATGTCTATCTATCTATCTATCTCTCAATAAAAAGACCACTTTAAAAAAGAAGTCAACGTTTTATACTCACATTCGTTTATTCTTTTCTTTCTCTCTCTCTCTCTCTCTCTCTCTCTCTATCTATCTATCTATCTATTGTTATCTAGAATAAAAACAGACCACTTTAAAGAAAGAAGTCACGACGTTTTATACTCTCTGTTTATTCAATCTATCTATCTATCCTATCTATCTCTCAATAAAAACAGACCACTTTAAAGAAAGAAGTCACGACGTTTTATACTCACATTCGTTTATTCTTTCTCTTTCTCTCTCTATCTCTCTCTCTTCTAAAGACCACTTTTAAAGAAAAAAGTCACGACGTTTTATACTCACATTCGTTTATTCTTTCTTTCTCTCTTCTCTCTCTCTCTCTCTCTCTATCTAAAATCTATCTATCTATCTATCAATAAAACAGACCACTTTAAGAAAAAAGTTTAAATCACCACATTCACATTTATTAAATGATCTTCTATCTATCTATCTATCTATTATCAATTTTAAAATAACAGAAAAATCCCGTTTTATACTCAATTTAAAGAAAAGAAGTCTGTTTTATTCGTTCTCTCTCTCTCTCTATCTATCTATCTATCTATTATCTTTAAAAAAGAAGTCTTTTATATACATCTGTTTATTCTTTCTCTCTCTCTCTCTTTTTCTCTCTATCTATTATCTCTCAATAAAAACAGACCACTTTAAAGAAAGAAGTATACTCATTCGTTTATTCTTTCTCTCTCTCTCTCTATCTATCTATCTATCTATCTATCTATCTCTCAATAAAACAGACCACTTTAAAGAAAAGAACCACACCATTCGTTTTATTCTTTCTCTCTCTCTCTCTCTCTCTCTCTCTCTCTATCTATCTATCTATCTATCTATCTCTCAATAAAACAGACCACTTTAAAGAAAGTTGTCACGACGTTTATACTCACATTCGTTTATTCTTTTCTATCTATCTATCTATCTCTCTCAATAAAACAGACCACTTTAAAGAAGAAAATTATACTCAATCTAATCCTATCTATCTATCTATCTATCTATCTCTCAATAAAAACAGACCACTTTAAAGAAAGAAGTCACCACGTTTTATACTCACATTCGTTTATTCTTTCTCTCTCTCTCTCTCTCTCTCTATCTATCTATCTATCTATCTATCTCTCAATAAAAACAGACCACTTTAAAGAAAGAAGTCACCACGTTTTATACTCACATTCGTTCTCTCCCTATCTCTCTCTTCTCTCTCTCTCTCTCTTCGTTTATTCTTTCTCTCTCTCTCTCTCTCTCTCTCTCTATCTATCTATCTATCTATCTATCTCTCAATAAAAACAGACCACTTTAAAGAAAGAAGTCACCACGTTTTATACTCACATTCGTTTATTCTTTCTCTCTCTCTCTCTCTCTCTCTCTCTC